CGCGGGGAGATCAGCGCGCCGGGCTGGCTCCCGGGGCTGCAGCGGGCGCGCCAGGCCTAGGGTGGAGATAATAAAGCCATCCTTCCCGGGGGGCAGCGAGGCAACGGTCGCGCGCCAGGCGCCGAGGGGAGGGGGAGATGGCGAGTGATCGCCGGGCCCTCGAGGAACTCCAGACCCCAGGTGCACGCGCCATCCGCGCTCGAAAGCCTGGCGCAAGAAGGCGCAGCCGCAAGGCGGCGAAAGTCTTCCCGGCGCGTGGGGGGGGGGGCGGCGCGCCAGGCTGGCTCCCGGGGCCGTGGTGGGCACTCCAGGCCTAAAGTGGAACGGGCCAGCGTCGGCGGGAGCCCATGGGCGCTGCCGCGCCCGCGGGAACGTAGACGCACGTCCTCTCGTGCCCGGCGCGAGCGCGCATGAAAGCGACGATCACGTGCATGGGTGCACTGTGGGGCCTGTAGGGCCCGGCTCTGCCTTTGCCAGGCTTCCTGTAGTCGATAAGGCGCCGCGCCCGCTGTGCAGGGCTATCCGGGGACGAGCGAAAGACGCCCCGAACACGCTCCATTAGAGAGCGCCGGCTCATCGCGGTGAGGGCCAATTCGAAATAGTTGTCGCAGTCTGGGTGTTCCCCCTGCGAGCGCTAGGAACCGGCGGAGGACGTCGGGCTCGTGGCGCGCGGGGTCGCGGGTGCCGGGCCCCCCCCGCCGCCTCGTTGGCGCGACGGAAGTCGTGCCACTGGCGTGCGCCCCCGTCCTTTGCCACGCCTTGACCCGCTCCGCGAGGGCCGGCGGGTTGTCCGCGAGCGCCCCGGCCCCCGAGGCAGACTCGTCGGGCGACTGCTCCGCTGCTTGGCCCGCGCCCAGCTCTGCGCCCGCGCGAGATCCGCTCGCGCTGGGGGGCGAAGGCATATGCGCCCAGGCCCGCCCCGTCTCCGCGGGCAGGCGGCGCGCGCGGGGGCGAGTCAGCGCTGACGGTCGTAGCGGTGGCGGCGGTGATCGCCGGGGTCGACGTGGTCTTCGGCTGGGCCAGCGCAGTTCGGACGCTGGGTCGCCATCAGCTGGGGGGGTCAGCGGCGGGCGACGGCCGGGGGCCCCCGTCGCCCTGCGGTTCCGCACGGCCCGCCGAAGGCGACGCCAACGTAGGGGTGATCTCGCGGGCGAAGCCCGCCCGCCGAGGCGGCGCGTCCGCGTTGGCAGCGGGCGGGGCTTGCAGCGGGCTGGTCGCGCGCTAGGGCGCGGGGGCCCCGGGTGGGCGCGTGGGGGGGGGGGGGGGGCGGAGAGCTGCGATTCGCCCTCTGTCCACCATTCGCCGAACTGCGGCCTCGTCTTCCGAGGCCCCGTTCTCCTTCCACCGTAATGCCCAGGTCGTCCACCGGGATGCTCTCGATCTCCTCGTCCTCGCAGGGGCTCCTCCGCCGCTCCCTCGATTCGAACGCATCTACAACTACGCGCAGCAAAACTGCGCCTTGTTGCGGGGGCCAGGGGTGGCAATCATAATTAGATTGGGCGCGTCGGTCGGTCTGGGTGGACGGACGCCGCCTCGCGACCTACGATGGAAGGCGACGGTCGTGCCGGCGACGTCGCGTGCCAACCGTGGAAGCGATCGCCATGTTTCACGGCGCGGATTGGCGGCAGCCTCGAAGAAAAACATAGCGCGAACAAGCGTTTCACCCTCGGACGGGAAATCCGGCACGGGGAAGAACTCGAAAGCGCGGGGGATCGGATCGCGAATTTGCAATTGGGCACAAGCGGGGGAGGGGGGCGGGCTGCGCGAGGCCGAGGCCCCCAGGCAGAAAGCTGGCCTCGCTGAACCAGGGGATGTGGGATGTCAGCGGCAGGGGCGCGGCGCGCGTTGGGAGCGCGAGCGGCGGCGCCCGACATGCACCCCGCCCCGCTGGCTAGGTGTAGTTCTATAAGTGCTCCGTTTTGTGAGGATGTCTACGGCGAAACCAGCGCGTACAGAACTGCACCTAGTGCCTGGCTAAGTGCAGTTCTGAGGGCGCTGGATGTCTCGCGCGGGGCGAACACGTATAGACCGGCACCTAGCGAAAGGGGCGGGGTACAGGTCGGGTGCGTCGTCGCGCCCCGCCCGCAGAGTCAGGAAGGCAAGGGTCGCTGAACCCCCTGCCAGCCTCCGGGCGGAGGTGTCTGAACGTCCCAGGGTTTCCCGAAGGAATTCCAAGTGTGGCCTCCGCCCACATCGCCCCCCCCTGTCAGAGCATCTCGCCTGGCCACTATGTTCCCCATTCCCGCCCGCTGCTTTGCCCTCCCCCTCCCCCGTTTTCCTCTACCTGCCGCCCCCCATTTCCCGGGGCGTTTCCCAATTGCCCCTGGCCCCTGCGAGGCGGTAAACGCCCGCGCCCCCCCGCAGCTGAAGGGCTCACCTCGCGCTCATCCTCCAATCCACTCGCGAGGCGCAAGCCTTGAATCCACACTGGCACTGGCAAGCGAAGTCGAGGCCTCGGCAAATCCGACAGGCGCGATCGGCCCCCTCGAATGGCGGGCGAACCAATACGTAAGACGATGTCGCAAAAGTAAGTTTGGAATTTTTGGGATTCGCGCAAGAAGCTAATCCACTCGCCCAAAGTGTAGCTACGTGCCTGTCCGATCGATGATCTCCTCGATGGCCCCCCCCCGTGGCGGGCCCCCCTTCCTCCTGCGACTCGCGACTATTTTCGCACTCTTCCCAGTGGAGGCGACTGACCGTCGCAGGGTCTGTTGGAATCCGAGGCGGCTGGGAGTTCGCAGGGGTCGCGTCGCTGGTGGGTTGTGTTGGGCGGTCGGCAAAATCCTCTGTCTTCTCCCTGCCCCCTCTCCTGCGGCTCGCGACCCATTTCGCGCTCTTCCCGGCGTAGGTTCCCTTGGGATCCGAGGCGGCCGGGTGTTCCCAGAGGTCGTGTTGCCAGCGGGCTGTGTTGGACGGTCAGCAAGGTTCTCCCTGTCTTCTCCGTGCCCCTCACCCTGCGACTCGCGACCATCTGCACACTCTTTCCGGTGGAAGCGGCTGACCGTCGCAGAAGCCATTGGAGTCCGAGGCGGCTGGGTGTTCCCAGAGGTCGCGTCGCCAGTGGGTTGTGTTGGAAGGTCGGCAAGGTCCTCTGTCCTCTCCCTGCCCCTTCTCCTGTGGCTCGCAACCTCGTTCGCGATCTTCCCGGCGTAGGTGACCGACCATCGCAGAGTCTGTTGGAATCCGAGGCGGCTGAGTGTTCCCAGGGATTGTGTTGCCAGCGGGTTGTGTCGGGCGGTCGGCAAAGTCCCCTCTGTCTGTTCCCTGCCCCTCACCCCGCGACTCGCGACTATCATCGCATTCTTCCTGGTGGCGGCGACTGACCGTCGCAAAGTCCGTTGGGGCCCGACGCTGTCGGGTGTGCCAAGAGGTCGCGTTGCCAGTGGGTTGCGTTGGACGGTCGGCAAAGTCCTCCCTGACTTCTTCCTGCTCCTCCTCCTGCGATTCGCGACTATCTTCGCGCTCTCCCCGGTGGGGGCGACCCATTTCGCAACCTTCCCGGCATAGGCGACTAGCTGTCGCATCTCGGGAAATCATGGGCAGGGAGGGAGGAGAAAAGTCAGCTCCAGGGGAAACGACCTGCGCAGGCGGGGCGCCAACCCACCCGTCGGTGCGCTGGGTCTGCGTCGCGGTCATGCCGCCGGGCAGCTTTGTTGGGCAGCCGCGCAAACCAGGCGGTTCCAGAAGAGTGTCGGCACAGGTTTCCTGTTCAGTTGCAGCCTGCTGGCCAAGTACAGTAGAAAGAAACATGCAATGACCAGGTCGTAAGCCGATGTCGCGCATGTGTCGATCACTCATAAGCCGTACCTCACCCATGCGCTTAAAGCCATGATCAGCGAAACTCGACGCATACATCCCAAGACCATGCTGACACAGAAAAGCGATGACCTCGGGCTCGCAATCTGTGGTAGGGTCGTTTGCGGGCGGGGCCGCCGAAACGCCACATCTGGGTCCGGACGGAAAAGTATCTTGTTCAGCTCGCTGACGAGCCGCGCGCTGTCTCGCGCGGCGGACTGCCTAGTCGAATTCGCGGCCAGGCTGACAATGCCAATCCTGGTTGTGCCAACTTCGCTGAGTATCATGTGGGGGGCCATGCTGAGTGTGCCAACCTTGACTGTACCCGCCACGTGGGTCCTGCCACTCTGACCAAGCCCCGCCAAAAAACCACGCGAGCATCACGGAAATGCGGAAGGGGAGAAGCGAAACCAGAGATAGGAGGGAACGGGCGGATGCCTCCTGACGGCACGCAGCTTGGGCCAGAGCGGCTTGAGCCAGAGGATTGAGCCAGAGGGCTAATTACGGTGCTGGTGGGGTTACTTTTTTGGGTCGCGGCCACAAGACAACGGTCATGTGGCGAAGGCAACGTCCGGGCCACGGGCGAGGCTAATTGGCTAAAACAGAAGCGGCCGGCCACCTCAGACGGTAGCTGCAGGCAGGGTGCTGGTGGGATTACGCGAAGCGTCTAGAATAGTCTACGAGCGCCAATCGCTCCGCTGCGAACGCCTGGGAACTTGCCTCCGCCTTGCTTCCCTCCGTTGCCAAGCTTGCGGAGAGGAACGAGGCCAGACATGATGAGGATACGAATCGGCATGGCGAAGTCACGTTCACCTCGCAAGTACGGCGTGCGAGCGGGCAGCATGGCACGAGCATCCCCCCCCCACACACATCCAGGACCGTGGGAGCTCCACTGGTCCGGGTTGTGAAAATCAGCCAGCCACCTGCTGCCAGCTCTTACCTCCTGTGTCATCCCCCTTTTGGAGGCCTAGAAATTGACACCAACACCGACACAGGGGGGTTGCCTCCACAGGGGGAAAGCGATCCTAGATTTCGGTGTTGGTGGTAAGATTTCGGCCACCTTGAAGCCAGAATATTACCAACATCACCGAGATCGGGATCTTCTTCCCTCGGTGGAGGCACCGCCGAAAGTGGAGTTGGTGTGAATTTCTTGGCCTGCGAAACCCTGCGCTGCTCGCCTCATCCTCCTGCTTCTCCCCGGGGGCCTGCCCATTCAGCAGGGCGCAGCCGGGCTCGCACTCATAGTTGGGGCGGTCGGAAGTGTTCCCTCCTTGACCAGCCACCTCGGGCGAGCAAGCGAACAGCACGACCAACAATAAAAAATAGGGCTGAACCCAAATGGTGTTTTTTGTTTTCGTTTTATTTTCGTTTTTCCTTGTTTTGTCTTCAATATGGCTTTGCCGCAAAACGAACTTGAAACGAAAACGGCCCACGAAATCGCCACAACACCGTTTAGGTCCACCCCCCAAGAATACAAAGGTGGCCCCGAATGCCCGAAGAGGTCTCTCACAAATATCCGCCACCGAGCCGCGAGGCAGTGAGTGGAGTGTTCTCAGGTCCCTTTGAGTTCTGTATTGAACGTTGTACGTGCGCAGTCATTGCGCGCCACCCCGATTTTGTATCGTTTCTTTTAAACCAGTTCAAAGCAATGTTTGGCCCAGCTTGGAATTGATCTGCACTGCCTGGCGGTCTTGGACATACTTCTTATGGCTTTGCATTGACTTGCATTGCTGTTCATTGCTGTGCATTCCTTGCCAGTGCTTAAAATACCAAGAGAGGAACCCGACGAACACCCGCGGAGGAACACCGAAGAACTCAAGTGAGGAATCCGAGGACCCCCGAGGAACCCAAGCGAGAACACCGATGAACCCGAGCAACGTCTGCAGAACCCCATGACCAAAGATATGAGCAAAGCCGAACGCCGCCTCTGACAAGCGCCGCAGCACCCACCGGCCTTGTCACAAAACAAGAAGGAGCCCCTCAGGCAGAGCCCAATTCGGGAAAAAGGAACCCCAAGTATTCCTAAGGGCTCCACAGGATGTCCTGAGGATTCCTACGGTTTCCTGCCTAGTTCCTTAGGTGTCCCAGATAGGAACCCCTCAGGAAAACCAGCCAGGTTTCCCACGGGATCGACGAGATCACCCTTTGGACTCCTCAATGTTTACTAGTACATCCGAAGGGCTTCTTGAATAATCCTGACCTCTTCCGAACTCCGAAACGGTCTCTGGAGAGGCCGCATGATTCAAGACGCAGGAACCAGAGATCCTCGGATTCTGAATGTTGCCAGCGGCACCTTATCGCTTTCGCAAATTGATGTTTTGTTTCGGGCGAAAGGCTTGCAAGCATTCCCCGGATCATTGTTAAGGACGTCCATCGGAGTAAATGGCGTCTTATGGCTTTTAACTGTGTGGTTTGGAATGTGACTTGGTTCTGGAGCCCTTATATCTTCAGAAACTCGACTTGCCCTACAAAAATGTGGCATGACTTTAGAAAGAAGCTCTGGAACCTGGAACCGTCACAACATGCTCCAATGATGCCGTCAATCGTCAGGAAAGACATCCTGCGGGATCCGACGGATAACCTCAGGAAGCGTTGGGTTGTCTTAGGTGCACTACGGGATTCTATTCGGAATCGTAATGACGCAAATGGTTCCCCCAAGCAACCTCACTTGATAATATCCAGAAGGCTGTCTGTCCTGTGCAATCTCGAACATTTTTCTGGACAGTTAGGACACCCCGATTGAATACGATCTGTGCTTTTAGGATTCCGCAAGGCTTCCCAAACGATTTAAGGGTTGCCAACTGATTTTTCCACATTGACTGCGCCTTCCTAAAAACTCGTCAAAGCCATTCCGAACAATTGCCGTGGGTGTTCAAACGAGTCCCGGAAGAATCCGGCAGAAATCCGGAAGGCCCGAAAGGTTGTTTCAGGAATCTTACCCCCGAGGAACCCAACAAATCCCTCACGAATATTTACAGAATCCTTCACGTAACCATCGTGGCTTTCAGAGGAACCACAAACCTGCCTGACACGACATAGTTCAAGTGTAATCAAAAGGACTCCCAGACAGTTTCTTGGGGGATCCAAAGGATGTCCTCCGGACACTTTAGGGGCCGAAGAATTACCCTCAAAGTCCTGACGGGCGTCCCTGCACCACGGGGGGGTCTCTCAGAAGTCCTGGGCCCCCCCCAAAACCTTGATTCTACCCCGCCCCAACACTCCGACGCATTTTCCCAAAAACGCTAAACCCCTTCACCGCCAGGATATGATGCGATGCGGCGCCCCGGCCTCCTCTGCACCCCCCGAGAAATTCTGAAATGCACCGTTCTCAAGAGCAATAAGAATCAACACCGCGGAACGCTTGCTCAGCCAAGAGCCCAAGGACTGTGTGAGATAGTTCGGCCCCGTTCACTCTGATATCAGCCGCCGTGCCATAGGCTCGTGAGAGCGTCTGGAAACGCCATCCTGTTTTCTGGGAGCGAACCGTGATGGCGCGCGGGCTCCTAGAATCGCCCCCTCAGAATATACTGTGCGGCGACATGTTCGGCGTCGAGACGACTTGAGGACGGTTGGGGATCGCCTGAAGCGGCTACAAAAAACCACGGGACCAGTCAACAACTCACCAAAGAGCCCCTGGAAAACTCCGGCATGCTCCCACCCAGGCCTCCAACAAGGTCCGAGGAAACGACGCGCAATGAAAAGCAAGGGTAGGGGTTTGACCATGAGGCGATCAGCTGAACACCCTACTCTCAAGATAACGTCGGCGACGCATCGAGGTATCCCACAACTCGTCCCTTGATAGTAAGCAAGACGAGAAGCTAGAGACATGCCACGAGATGGAGAGGTGGATCCTTGATAGACGTGGCCTCTGTCTGATGCGCAGATCGAATAGTGCTCCGATGGCGTGGGGCAGGCAAGTGGGGTGGCGCTGCCTTGAGCCCAGGCAGCGGCGGATATGCTGTTCGATATAGGCCACCCCTTTTTAACTCCCTTTAAGGTCGGGGATGGAGGAAGCGAGCGATAGATCCTACCCCAATTTGTTGATACAAGTAAAGAAGGAAGACCGGGATATTTTTTCAACATCCCTAGCAGTACGCAGTCGAAACACAAGATTGGCGGCATGGAGCACTGGGTCCGGTCGCGGGTTAACCGCGCGACCAGCCGCAGAGTATCGTGGGCAGCTACGGGCAAAACCGCATGGCTGCCCACAGATTATTGGGGGCGGGCGTCTGGCCAACATCCATGCGTCAAAGCGCGCAGGGAGGAGCGTGCCCGACCAAACAGTCTGGCCCCCAGTGAAGTAGTGACCCGTGTCCGGGCTGGCCCGTATCCGGGCATGTAGGTATAGTCCACACGTGGCCCTGCAAGGGTTGACTACGTGTAGGTAGTTAGGTAGTCGAACGCATGCCTATCCGCTAGCCCTGATTAGGGTTCCCTTAAATGGATGCTGCCTCTTTATGGCCTCGATAGGGTACGGTCCGCATTCTTCTACCTCGTACTTGAAAGACTGGTTGCCCGCCGTGATTTTCAGCAATCGGGACAATCGATACATCCAATGGCGTGGTCATCTGCTGTCGTATCTCGCGTATCACACCACTGTGCGCTTTAGACGATACCTCGGCCCATCACTTGTCTTATCCAACTGATATGTCCCAGCGGGGTGCTGTCGGTCGGCTTCTTCAAATCCATAATTGACAAGTGGTGAAAAAAAACTATTCAGCGTCGATGCTAAGGATGGCCTTGATGCTGCGACCACCTAACTCTGGCATGTTCTTAAGCTGTCGGCGCCAGTGGTCCAGCTTTGAGCTCGTGTAGCGTTGCAAAGGTCTGGTAGTAGCCTTCAAGATTATGAGTTGCTGCCAGTGATTAGCAGAGTAACTGGGACCTACCTGCAAGCGGTACGACTTGCACGATGCATCGATCAGATGTACTACTGCCTCGCCATCAGGGAGGTGTCCGCGCAGTGAAAGTTTGGCTCATCGGACGCCACATCCCTGCACTTCGCATCTTCGCCCCCGTTGAGGCGACGGTAGCCGGGGTCGCTGTGAAGTCCCCCTTTTTCCTGTCTGTGTCATGAGCTCATGTGCTATTTTCTCCGGGCCTCGTTGGAGTTTGTGCGTGGCGGCGCTGAGTCTTCGCGCCTGGAGGTTCGTAACTTCCCGTGCGCGTTGCAGGGGCGCTGCGTATGCCATCAACCACGCCGGCGTGATTAGTCCGCATGCCAACGCGCCGCGTAAACGCACGAACGTGTCGGGTGCTGCCTTCGCTGTCACTATTCGGCCGCAGCGCCCGTGAGTTTTGGCTGTTCTAAGGAACGACGTTGTTTGATGCATTCATCTTGATCTAGCTGGGCGCGGCCGTCCTCGTTCGCATCGGCGAAGTTCGTGTAGCTGTGTTTGTCCAGTTTACATGCGCCGAGCGTGATTTCTACACGTTTAGCGGGCGGTGACCTCAACTCCTGCCATGCTTATGTCGTCAACGCAGTTGAGTGCTAAGGATTGTCTCAGATATTTCATCATGCGACGTGGGCTTTAGCCCAAGGCCTCGCATGATGATCCTGAACTTCAATGAGCATACCCTAGGGGTATATTTGGCGCCTGTGCCTGGCTGCAGGCAATGCAGGCAGCGCTTCGATTCGCCGCGGGGCGAAAAGCTGGGCATCGCGCGCAGCGCCGAGGCCGTGCCAGGTTGGAAGAGTAAAGCAGACCATGCGCTATGTCTCTTCTGTGGCTTCTGCCAGCTCACGATCGGTCAGACCCTTCAAGAACACCTTGTCGATGTCCACAGATGATATGATAAAATGTTCCTTGCGCGCGGCCGCGCTAGCGAGCAATCTCTGACTTGCTCGACGAGCTGTGCCTGGGCAGATTTCCACGTCGAATGCTTCGGCGCCCATGCAGACGCGAAGGGCGAGAGGCAGTCGAATGGTTCGTTCGATTGCGCCTTTTCGTTCTTTGCGAACTGGCGCTTGTACACGTATCTGGATGTCACGCCTGCAGCATGTTTTGTATCATGGGTATTAAAGCATTTGCTGTGGTCCCATATCCTATGCTGAGCCTGCAAGGCTTCCGAGACATTTGCCGAATTGGCCGCGATTGCTGCCCTCGTCAGGAGGTTGTCTTCTTGGCGACAGCAGCTCTCTAGCTGCGGCTGAAACACATGCGCGCCTCGCAGTTGCCAGGCCGCTGCGTAGCGACTCGCGTAGTTGCTCTGTCAGAACCAACTCGAGCCATGCCAGTAGCGAAGCATAGCTGAAAAGACTGACCGTATTCGTCCGAGTCAA